TCCAAATGGTCAGTCCTTCCCTGGACGGGAACCAGAGCAGGGATAGGCAAGAACAACAGTGATCAGGACTTTTTTTTATACATTCTTTTTTATTATCAAAGAAGAATTCTTTTTGCATAGTTACAATGGCCCAGCATGGACCTTGCTGGTCCCTGTGGAAGTGGAGGATCACTAAAGTAGCTACTTCAGAGATCCTTGCTGTCCTATAGGTCCTGTGTTGAATGGCTGCTTTACTGTATAGTAAACACAGGAGAGTCAATTGCCCAGAGTGGGCAGCATTCAGAGAACATTTTGTGCTTTTCTCAAGGAATGCAAGGCCTTCTCTGATTAGTCCAGTCAGAGAACACTTTCATTCATTGAGGAAAATTAAAGATGTTCTCTGAATGGTGTCAGTGTTGAGTGAACTAACTCCTGTGTTCACTATGCAGCAAGGTAACCACTTGCTTGGCACGGGCGCCATTCAGAGAATACCTTGCATTTCCTCAATAAATGCTAAGTATTCTCCAATTGGATAAGGTAGAGATGAAGGATGGTATCGACTGAGAAAATACAAAGCATTCTCCAAATGGCACCTATGCCAATCATGAGTGTTCACTTTGCAGCAGGGCAGCCATTTGGCACAGGACCACACCAAAAACCAGGAAGGGAGGGTAGGTAAGATAGCAGTAAAATCAGAAAAGAGTTCTAATTCTTCCTCACTCTACCCGAAACAAGAAAAAAACTTGGGGCTTGATGTGCAGTTTAAAGAGGACTTCTCGGTATGGATGATTTATGCATAGTTACATTGGCCCAGCTTGGACCATTGTAATTAAGCATATACCATACCTGACTGATGACCACCAAAGCCTGGAATTGCTAAAGTAGACACCGATGCTCCAGTAATCTCTGCTTGCTTATGGGTCCCATGATAAGCAGCTGTCCTGCTGCATTCTGAAGGTTGGCCACTTGGCACAGACACCATTCAGAGAATACTTTACTTTTTACTTTTTCTAAATGAATGCAGACTATTCTGTGATTGCACAAGGTGGAGAGCTTGATGTCTCCACCCTATCCACCCTACCTCTCCACCTCATTCAAAGCTTTGCAACGCCAATCAGTAGGTACCATGCCAGTCAGTATAATGTGTTTAAAAATTTATAAATAGCTGTTTGGCTATAGCTGAGCTAAATTCCCTAAGGACTCATGGGTGTGGGCCATCTTGACCTGTTTACATTTCGTTCCTTTTTCACCTGTTCTTCAGTCAACACAGAGGTACCTTTAGTGAAACTTTAGTATGATTACTGTTAAAACAATCAAACCCATCTTTTTCCTCTGTAAAAATGGAAGAGAAAAAATTTTTTTTTTTTGTATTTTTATATTATTATTATTTCTAGTATTTAAAAACATAATTCTGAGTCAACAGGTGCTAATGAGTGTGAATATATTTTTCAAACTCATGAAAGTTGAAAACAAATTTTTGTCGAAGTTTCCAGTGATTAGATTTTTCAATCTCTTATAGTATTGGTCAAATTTCCTCTATTCTTTTTACAAAGAAATTCTTGTCACACAACAGTGCTTCATTTACATTTAATAGATGACTAAGAGTAAACCATTCTTACAGAGTGAAATCTACATTTTGCAGTAAGTATCCTACTTAAGAAATAAATGGCTTAAGTAAGGTAGGTGTTGGGATCAGTGCTCCGTGTTTATTGATTGAAATTATTAAATCCCTATTAAAAGCTGTCATCATCCAAAATGGACAGTTTATACAATTTACACAGAACTGTACTGATGAAGGGGATTTTATGAAACAGTTGGAAATACTGAAAGCTAGGCTTATATATAAATGGTATTATGAATTTGATTTAGATGGGGATATTAATGTGAAAGATATCAAAAGGGAGAAATTGAAAAGAAAATCGGAGGATAAAAACATGGAATTTCGTTTTTCTACAAATTATAGTGCCCAACATAAATGATTAGAGGGGATTGTTAAAAAATATTGGCCAATTTTTTTTAGCCAATAGAATTTAGGCCCTCTTTTACCCGAAAGATCAAAGATTATTTACAGAAAGGCACTGATAAGAAAAAGTTTAGCAAAGAATATTATAAATCCCCCTACAAAAGATAAACAGGTAACCTGTAAAACAAGATTTAGAAGATGTAAAGGTTGTATGAAAACAAATGGTAACCAAAGATATAGGGAATCTTAAATCCACCACTACTCACAAAAGAATATAAAATTACACAATTTATTTCTTGACATACAAAAGAAGTTTTTTATATATACAGGGGTTAGACAAAAAAATGGAAACACTACATGATTTGCAGGAGTGAAAGTGACAACATGTTTTGCATTGAAAGCAGAAATGATGTAACATTTACTTCACTTTCATCAATTACTGCATGCGCAGCTAGTAATATGGAGTCAGATATAATATACATCATAGCTTACTGAGCTTCAAAGCAAGCAAATTGTTGGTGTCTGCTTAGGTGGAGCCCCTGTCACTGAAGCTGACAATTTATTTGCCATGTCGCGAGGTATGAAAGGTTATGACGGCATATACAATTTCTGGGAAAAACGTTGTCTGATAAGCATAAGCGCAACCGGCATGGTCAACTGACCAAAATAGACAAAATTACATTGCAGAGGATTGTGACCCGGAATAAGAAAACAACTGCTGCAAAAGTGACTGCAGAGCTCAATCTCATGGGACAATATGCAATTACAATATGCCTGACAACACCTTGACATGCCTCGCTGTGCTTTTTTTCAGCATTTTTGCAGTAAAGGCTTCTTTCTGGCAACTCGACCATGCAGCTCATTTTTGTTCAAGCATTGTCGTATTGTGATCCTTGAAAAAAACACATCATCTTTTCCAGCATAACCATTATTTCTCCTGATGTATCTGGAACAATTCTTCTGGCAGTTGTGGCTGCAATCTTTCTTGGTCTACCTGACTGCTGAGTGCGCTTCCCCGGGAGGACATCATAACTGCACAACCGCACTTTAGCCGTCATTTGCCTATAGTGCAGTTGGCAAGTGGTTAAATTGAACAAGAAAATTGTATAATGCATGGCAAGTTTTAGGTTAGTTATACATAATGGATTGGGAAATCTTCACTGGTGGCTATTGTATTATATATAATATATAAGTAGTCATGACATCTGTGGCTACTTGAATGCCCAAAAACTGGCCATACACTGGTAGATTTTCGAATGATCATTTGTATGAAAAATCTTGTCAGCACATTCAGTAATATCAAAAGAGACTTGATGTATGTTGTTCAAGAGTACTTCAAAATTTTGTTTGCTTTTACCATTTGTTTTAGATATGAATGGAATTTCTTGAGTGAAAATGTCATACAGTGTTAAGCTTTGTTCTGACGGGCAGCAGCCCTATGGTGCCCCTCTGAAAAGTAATCCTGAGAAGCTGCATGTCCTGTGGGAAGTCAGGGTACAGTAAAATCATTCATTGAGCTTTTTTGGCTGTACATGGCCCCACGTTATTTAGTAGCAGCCCTGGTCAGTCCTCAGGCACACAGGGCATTTAAAAAATGTGCTGTAAAGCTAGTACTGGCACCAGGGAAAAGTGGCATAAAAAAATGCAATTTTAGCTGCATTTTTGCACAAGGGTTTATTCACATTTAGGGGTGGACTGACCATTTGGAAACTCGGGCACTGCCTGAGGGCCCGGGGTCAGTAGGGGGCCCCCATGAGATGCCCCTGGTACCTTTTTCACAGGCTTTTTTTGAGTTTGGGCAAAGACACAGGGGCCCCATGATCCCCTATTGCCTTGGGGCCCCATGAGTTGTCAGTCCGCCCCTGGTCATGTTAGTGTTTAGAAGCGTTGTTTAAAATAAACACTGCTCTTTTTTTTTTTTACTTTCAAAATGTCCCACAATGCATATATTCATCATTTCTCTGCATCATTTTGTTTGGAGAGAGAGTAGAGAGCATCTGCGAGTATTTGATCACTGTAAAATAGATCCTGTTGTTCTCAAAATTGATGAGGGCAATCCTGCTGATTGTGTTACATAGGCTGAGGAGAAGGAGACAGCTGGAGGAGGAGAGACGCATCCATCGTCGCCGTTTCTGGATGCATCCTATTATATCACAGCGTCTCTCTTTGGTGTACTTTCCACTTCTATGGCCAACTGCACATGCATCCAAAAAATGTTTACAACTTCACATAGAAGTTGCTATGTTTGATGACCTGCTGGAGAGGCTCAGACCAAGGATGGATACTCAGATGCGAACAGCTGCTTGTGATAATCAGGTATGTTACATTTTTTTATCCAGAAAATATACAGATATATAATTTTTATTTTAATTTATTAATTGTAGGTTTTTTTTGGTTTTTTTTTAATTTATGCTATATTTGAAATTTTGATAATTGTATGGTTCCCCTTTTTTTTACCCTTTTTCTCAGATGAATATGTATATATATTAGGTTTCTTGCTACAGGACAACATTTGTGTCCTTACATCACATTTTTTACTGGGCATCTCCACAGTAGCCAAGATAACAAGGGAAACCTGCTTGGCACTATGGGAGGAGTTTAACCACTTGCCGACCGCGCATAGCCGAATGACGGCTGGGGGGGGGGGGGGGACTTCACCGCGGCGGCCAGTTCTGAGTGGACATCATATGACGTCCTCCCAGAACGCGCTCTCCTTGCGCGCCCCAGGGGGGCGCGCCACCGGCGATCTCCGTGATCGCTGTGTCCTACGGACACAGCTGATCACGAGATGTGGTGAAAGGCCGATCCCACCGGCCTTTTTACCACGTGATCAGCGGTGTCCAATGACACGCTGATCACAGGAAAATGCAAGTGCCGGTTCTCGGCTGCACTTTCCTCACGCTGTCAGATCGTGAGGAAAGTACTGCCAAGAACCGGCAGTTGTCAGAGCGGGGATCGGCACCGATCATCAGGGCACTGATGATCAGTGCCCTGATGATCGGTGCCCAGCAGTGACCCCCGCAAGTTCCGATCAGCTGTGCGCCCACTAGCCCAGGCCCACCTGTGCCCAGCGGTGCCCCCACCTGTGCCCAGCAGTGCCCCCACCTGTGCCCAGCAGTGCCCCCACCTGTGCCCACTCTGCAGTGCCACCTACCTGTGCCCAGCAGTGCCACCTACATGTGCCCAGCAGTGCCACCCACCTGTGCCCACCCACCTGTGCCCACCAGCGCCACCCACCTGTGCCCACCAGTGCCACCCACCTGTGCCCACCCACCAGTGCTGTCCACCAGTGCCACCCACCAGTGCCACCCACCGGTTGAGCTGCCAGTCAGTGCCACCAGTCAGTGCCCAGGGGTTGTGCCAGTCAGTGCCGCCAGTCAGTGCCCAGAAGTGATGCCAGTCAGTGCCGTCTATCAGTACCCATCATCAGTGTCACATATCAGTGCCGCCTATCAGTGCTGCATATCAGTGCCGCCTATCCCGTGACCCCTAATTAGTGCTGTCTATCAGTGCCGCCTATCTGTGCCACCTCATTAGTACTGCCTATCAGTGCCCTTTAGTGCTGCCTATCAGTGCCCATCAGTGCCGCCCTATCAGTGCCCATCAGTGCCGCCCTCATCAACGCAAATCAGTGAAGGAGAAAAAATACCTGTTTGAAAAATTTTATAAAAGAAACAAATAAACTTTTTTTTTTTTTTTTTCAAATTTTTTGCACATTTTTTAATTTATAGCGCAAAAAGTAAAGCGCCCAGTGGCGATTAAATACCACCAAAAGAAGCTCTATTTGTGAGAAAAAAATGATCAAAATTTCATATGGGTACAATATGTTGCATGACCGCGCAATTGTCAATCAAAGTGCGGCAGCGCTGAAAGCTGAAAATTGGCCTGGTAAGGAAGGGGGTATAAGTGCCTGGTAGGCAAGTGGTTAAGGAAGTGTTCATGCCTGAGCCTAATGAAGACACCTGGGAAGCTGTAGCGGATGAGTTTTAGCAGAAGACCCAATTCCCAAAATGCTTTGGTGCCCTTGACTGCAAGCACAGCAGGGTAAAGAAGCCTCCTCAGTCTGGATCACTATACTTCAATTATAAAAAGTATTTCTCTGTGGTCTTCCTGACATTGGCTGATGTCAACCTACACTTCATTTAAAATGAAAAAGAGAGGAAGGCGCCTCTAAGTGCAGTATAGAAAATTTATTAGTGAACAATAGATAAATTGCACTTACAAGATAAATAGTTAAAAAGACTCATCGTATGGTGTATAAAGATCCAGGTGAGACATCCAGCCATCCAGCAGCAGCTCTGCCTATAGGATCAGGAAGTAAGACCTAGGATGGGTCTGTGTATCAAAATGAGGCTTGTAGAGTCGGATGTAGGAGGTGAAGGGGCAGGAATGCGTTTTGGAGCATGCTCAGTAGGCTCCTTGTTCAGACCAGAGTCCCAATAGAATGCTGACATTTTTATAGTGTGAAGGGAACACTATAAAAATGTCAGCGTTCTGTTGGGGCTCTGGTCTGAAGAAGGACCCTACTGAGCATGCTCTGAAACACGTTACCTAAACCCCCTACATCTGACTCTGCTCTCTCTTGTAAGTGCAATTTATCTATTGTTCACTATCTATCTATATCTATATCTATCTATCTATATCTATACTGCACTTAGAGGCACCTTCCTCTGTTTTTTGTGTTTATTGCATTAGTGCCTTGCTTCCACTCTAAGAAGAGCTGCCTCAGTGTTACTGCTCCCATCCATCCCTGATATCCATCTGGCACCTTTATCCAACAGCAACAGAGGTTTGGCTCTAACAAGCGTGCCATATATAATATACATGTTCAACCTACGCTTCATTGCTGTGGATGTCGGAGCGTACAGCAGCCAAGGTATCTTTCGCCAGTCAGTCTTTGGACGTCACCTACATAAAGGATGCCTTCACATTCCACCAAGCAGGCCTCTACCTTGTACAGAAGAACCCAGTCTACCTTTGTCATGGTAGCAAATGAGGCCTTAAGATTGGCAGAAAATCTAATGAGGCCATAAATTGGCTATGGTCTCAGCCAGAAGCAAAAAATCTTCAATTATCGGCTCAGCTGTGTTGTTGAATATGCCTTCGGCGTCTGCACTGCAAAGTGGAGAGTACTGCTCTCATGCATGCAGCTGGAAGTAAAAAATGCCATCAATGTGGTATTGGCCTGCTATGTCCTTCACAACTTTCTGCGGGACGAAGAGAGAGGCACTATTGAACCAGAGCCACAATTATCAAAGTCTACGTGTTCAGTTTATGGACCTACAGTCAACTGTACAGGTCATGGCCATCTGCAATCAGTTGGCAAATTTTTTTTGTATCACCAGAGGGAGAAGTATCATAGCAGGATCAATAAGTGTAATATATTTTGTTGTTTCTGCATTATCTCTGCTTACTGCTATTAATAAAATTGTTTTTTTTTTCTTTGAATACATTTTTTGAAAAGTACCTTTTGTCTTTTTTTTCTCTGGTGGCACTTAGAGCTATCCACATATGCATTACATTGAAGGCTGCTTTTTCCAGTATCTTTTTCTTCAAAGACACTGAAAAAAGTGGAGAGACAAACGTATACAGTCCTGTTTGGGCCCTGCATACGTTTACCCCACACAGAGGAAAATGTGTCCTTTTCCTCTGTGGGATACAAGTACAGTTGCAAGAAAAAGTATGTGAACCCCTTGGGATTACGTGGAGTGTTGCATGAATTGGGCATAAAAATGTGCTCTGAACGTCATCTAAGTCACAACAATAGAAGAACACAGTCTGCTGAACATAATACTCCACAAACATTAGATGTTGCCATGGTTTAATTCCACATAACATGTAAACATTCACAGTGCAGGGAGGAAAAAGTATGTGAACCTTTGGACTTAATAACTGGTTGACCCTCCTTTGGCAGCAATAACCTCAACCAAACGTTTCCTGTAGTTGCAGATCAGACCTGCACAACGATCTGGAGTAATTTTGGACCACTCTCTCTTCACAAAACTGTTTCAGTGTAGCAATATTCTTGGGATGTCTGGTGTGAATTGCTCTCTTAAGGTCATGCCACAGCATTTCAATCGGGTTAAGGTCAGGACTCTGACTGGGCCACTCCAGAAGGCGTATTCTGTGCTGTTACAGCCATTGTTTTGTTGAGTGACTTGTATGCTTTGGGTCATTGTCCTGTTGCATCACCCATCCTCTGCGGAGCTTCAGTTGGCGGACAGATGGTCGTACGTTTTCCTGCAAAATGTCTTGATAAACTCTGTAATTCATTTTCCCATCAATGACAACAATCTGTCCAGGCCCTGAGGCAGCAAAGCAGCCCAACACAATGATGGCTCCCTCCGCCATGTTTCACAGTGGGGATGAGGTTTTGATGTTGGTGTGCTGTGCCTTTTTTTCTCCACACATAGTGTTGTGTGTTCTTCCCAAACAACTCAATCTTGGTTTCATCTGTCTACAGTATATTTTGCCAGTAGTGCTGTGGAACATCCAGGTGCTCTTTTGCAAACTTCAAACGTGCTGCAATATTCTTTTTGGACAGCAATGGCTTCCCCCGTGGTGTCCTCCCATGTACTCCATTCTTGTTTAATGTTTTCCTTATTGTAGATGTGTCAACAAAAATGTTAGCATGTGCCAGAGATTTCTGTAGGTCTTTAGCTGACACTCTGGGATTCTTCTTTACCTCATGCAGCATTCTGCACTGTGCTCTTGCAGTCATTTTTACAGGACGACCACGCCTAGGGAGAGTAGCAACAGTGCTAAACTTTCTCCATTTGTAGACAGTCTGCCTTACCGTGGACACATGAACATCAAGGCTTTTGGAGATACTTTTGTAACCCTTTCCAGCTTCATGCAAGTCAACAATTCTTGATCGTAGGTCTTCTGAGAGCTCTTTTCTGCGAGGCATGGTTCACATCAGACAGTGCTTCTTAAAACTAGTAAACCCAAAACAGGTGTGTGTTTTTTAACAGCAGGACAGCTGTCAGCAACACATCCAATATCATCACACTGATTGGAGTCCAGGTTGGCTCACTCCTGGCTCCAATTAGCTCTGGGAGAAGTCATTAAGCTAGGGCCTCACATACTTTTTCCTCCCTGTTTGTGTAGTATTATGTTCAGCAGACTGTGTTCTTCTATTGTTGTGACTTAGATGACGTTCAGAGCACATTTTATGCCCAATTCATGCAAAACTTCACGTATTTCCAAGGGGTTCACATACTTTTTCTTGCAACTGTATGTACAGTCCCCTTTGGGCCCTGTATACGTTTATTCTACACAGAGGAAAACATGTCCTTTTCACTGATGTGTAAATGGACTAGTATCTCAGTAATTTCTTATGGGCAGACCACGCCCCAATCCATTTTCCAATTCAGGATCGGCCATCATCTTTGCGTCGCTTTTCATGGCGCTTGAACAATACCCTACTCAAAGATTCTCTATGTATTGCGGAGGTCGTGAAGACTATCCAGGACTTTATTCTGGACCACACATTGGACACTACCGGCCCTCTCACCCAATGGGAGACCCTCAAATGTGTTCTTAGAGGGGTTATTATTATGCATGGCTCTTGCTTGAAAAAAGCTTGTACAACGAGGATGCATTGATTATTTTCGTTCATTGCACATCTAGAATCGTCACACAAACGTACGTTGGACCCGGTGCTTGCGGTAGACCTATCTAATGCTTGTAGAGATTTACTCCAACTTCTAGATTCCTCCTCCCTTGTTGCACGAGACAAAGCACGTAACACTCTTTAGCTAACAAATGTGGCCAGCTCCTGGCGCGTGTACTCCACCCTCGTCCGTGCAGTCGTCCAATCCAACACATCAAGGCGCCTGGCAATACTAAAATCTACCACAATAAGGGAATCTGTTCTGCGTTTGAGCACTATTATTCTTAACTTTATAATTCTCTCCTCGGCAAATCTTGATGCTCCTCCCGTTTCCTCCCTGTCGGCTATGTCCCAATATATTATGGGGACGGCGTTACCTGTTCTTGATGCCCAATTTGCATTGGATCTAGAGGAGCCCTTCTCGATTATAGAAGTTCTTGGGGCAATTAAGGCCCTGAAAACTGGTAAGTGCCCTGGTCCGGACGGATTCACCCCACGCTTTTACAAAACATTTGCCTTCCAATTAGCCATGCTTCTGGCCCCAGCATTTAATGTTTTCAATGATTTGAATGTGCCTTCATCAGCTTTTTTGTCCGCCACTATTTCAGTTATCCCTAAGCAGGGTAAAGACCCTTTCTCATTGCGGTAGTTATCACCCAATTTCTCTGCTCAACCTGGACATTAAGCTTTTTGCTAAACTTTTAGCGAACCATCTTTCCCCTTTTCTACCAACCTTGATCCACCACGACCAGGTTTGCTTTGTCCCGTGTTGCGAAGCTAGGGATAATACTTCTAA